GGGATTAGCGCTGCACAAAGCCGAGGGGCAGGGGGTGGCTCTGCCTGGCTTGGCACGGGGGGCACCAGGACCCCCTGGCAGCCCTGCACTGGCAGGGCAAGGTGGATGCTCAGGGTGCAGCCCTGCCTGGCTCTCAGCTGAGTGTCCCCCCGGCTTTTAGCGGGGTGGGTTTGGTGCTTTAGGAGCCAGCTGGGTGCGGCGGAGGGCTGACATCTGGCCGGCTCACAAAGGGCTCCCATAAATCTGTCCGCAGGGAGGGCACGGCCGGCTCTGCTGGGAGGGCAGTGGGTGCCCCGAGGCAGCAGCTGCATCCCCTCAAGGATGCTGAGTGTTCAGGGTGCTCCCCACCTGGGCAGGGATGCTGATGGACCGGGATTGGGATCACTCCGTGGCTCTCCCGGTTCCTCTGCGCTTGCCCTCGGAGCCGAGAGGGGAATTGCACAGGTTCCCAAGCTTGTGCTTGCCTCCCTGATTGCTTTTGCTTTTGAAAAGGGCTTAAACCCAGCCATTTTAATACTCGGTAGAACAAGTGTTAAAGGAGATCCTCAGGTGCTTATTTGTTTCCATGAAAAAGGATTTGCTCAGAGCAGTTGTCCCAGACTGTGGGCCCAGGAGGGGTGCACAGCATCCCCTGAAGCAGAGAGGAAGGTGACAAGGGGATTTAGGAGAGATTGGTCGGGGCCCATCCTGTGCATCCTTGGCATGTTTGGTGGTAGAGAATAGCATTTGTTCCTGATCATATACTTTTTATCCCAGTTTCAGTCCTCTTACAGTCACACCTGCAGCTGCTGAGCAGTCACGTTCCCAGACTTGTCGTTCCCACATTGAGCAATCCCCTTGCAGGGGCCTGGCTGCAGCAGAACTCAGCACATCTGCTCTGGACAGAGCCATTACTTCTAGTTTAACATCCTTGAATTCTGAGACTTCTTCCAAGAGTCTTCCCTCCAGGAACTGGGGGAGCTGTCAGCCCTTCTCTCCAAATAATCCTGTGCATGGAAATGCTTCTGCACGTCTGTTCTGCATCCCCAGCTGAGGCACCACAGGCCTGGGCTTGCAGCCACCACGGGATGAGTGCCCTGAGGGCTGGGGAGTGCAGTCACACTCGGTGGTGTCACCCCTGTCCCGGCTGCAGAGGGGGGTCCTGGCTCCTGTGTGTTTTCAGGGGGGATCCCTGAGCACAGCGTGGCAATAGCAGGGGAGAAGGGGCTGGGCAGCGTTTGAGCAGTCCCATCTGCTGTCTGAGCCGCAGCAGACACTGGGGAAGGGAATATCCTGGTCTGCACTCGGTGCCAAGCTCTTCCCTGAGCAGGGAGGGCTGTGAGCCATCAGTCCCAGTGCTTTTCCAGCTGCTGGCTGCTCCGGTGGGGCTGTGCTGCTTCCAGCCCCACATTCCCGCTCAGACCGACCCCCGGGATTATCCAGCTGCTCCTCCCGGGCAGCTGAGGCTGGCTGAGCCTCTCCAGAGCTTCCCCCCGGGCCATCCCTCCATGGAAAAGCCCATTTTTGGGAGGTGCAGAGTGCCTGCTGCCGGGGTGGGTGAGAGCAGCCGTGCCCAGGCAGGATGCCGGGGGCACAGGAGGATGTTCCTGCCAGGCTGTGAGCGTTATCCCTCCCCAGGAGCCTGACTGAGGCATTCTGGCTCTGCTTTTATCCTTGGCTCTGGCAAAGGTGGCTCTGAATTGTGCAAGTCACTGGCAGCTTGGGTGGCAGAAGAGCAGGGTGAACCCTGGGGCTGGCAGGGCAGAGCTGCCCCCCATGGCAGCTTGTGTTTGGTTGTGTTTTATGGGTTTGGGTGGTGAGCCAAGGGCAGCCAAAGGTGTGCCAGTGCCTGAGCACAGTGTGCAGGGAGACAGCAGTTCTGGAGGTGTGTGGAAAAGTGTCCTGTGCTGTCCTGGCAGTGCAGTGACACCAAACACAGCATTTTCAGTGCCAGTCCTGTGCCAGCGTGTGGAGGCACTTGGATAAAAGCTGCTGTGGTTGTGGCATTGTGGCAGCCCTTCCTGCCCCAGTGCTGGCTCTGTGCCTGTCCCCAGCCTGGCACAGGATGTCACCTGGCACTTTCTCTGTGGCACAGGTCAGTGCCAGGACAGCCACCACTGCTGGGTGCTGAGGTGAGCCAGGACCAGGCACTGCCAGGACAGGAGGATTTATCCTGGGCTGCCAGGGGGCACAGGGCAGTGCCAGCCACCAGTGTCCCTGCTCTCTGCGACCTGTGGCACGGGGACACTCAGACCAGGAGCTTGCAAAGCCCTTAAGCTCCTCCTGTGATGGGCACAGCAGAAGGGCGAAGGATTATGCCTGTGCCCGGGTTTGGAGGATGAATAACAGCATCCAGGGTCCTTCTGCGGATAACAGGGCAGGAGCTGTTGCCAGGCAGGAGAAAGGCTGGTGAGGCAGCAGGCAAGGAGTGATCCCAGCCTGGTTCTGCTCGTGGGGCAGGAGGGCAGAGGGGCTCAGCCCGTGCCCCGAGCGCGGGCTGAGGGCACACACCAACTTCTTCTTTCCTTTTTGGGAAATCCAAAGGATTTTGCTTTTCCTGGCATCTTCCCAGCCCCTCAGTGACATCACAGAAATAAGGGCCAGGAACATGTTGAGCCCCTTCCCCAGCTGCCACCCGGGTCCTGCTGCCCTCCCCAGTGCTCACCTGAGCACTGCTGCAGACAGCAGGGACTGGGGAGCATCTCAGGATGCAGAGACCTGTTGCTCTTTTAAATCAACTCCTGCTAACAGGGCCACTTGCTTTTCCCCGGATTTTAACTCATGCTGATGTAGTGATTTGCATTTCTTTGGATTAGCAGCTGGACTTTGAAAAACAGGTTTTAAAGCCTTCAGGGCATGTGAACTGCCCTGGTCTGTGTGGCCCCTGCCAGCCCCGAATTCCTGGGGTGTATCTCAGGGCAGGGAAGGTCCCAACACATTCCCTTGGGACTGTTTGAAGCCAGATGTGCAGCGGAGCCTTTCTGGTGTAAAATATCTTGTCTCCATCCCTGATTTTGTTCATCTTCCGACCAGAAGATTTCCATGGCTCAGCACGTTGCTGTGCTCAGTGCCACTATCCAGCACTTGCAGGGAGCTGTCCCAGACTCTCGTGCAGTGCTGACTTTCACCTCCCCTGAGCTGGCATTGGCAACAGGAGCCCAGGGGGCTGGCAGGGGGATTGCCCGTGCCTGGCACAGCCCTGGCCCTCGTGGTTACAGGGAAGCCTTTAAATACACACTCAAAGGTCAAATGCTGGGAGACAAAGGTTCCCCAGCCCAGGTACTTTGGTTACTTTATGGAGATCTGGAGAATTCCAGCCTGATTTTTGGGGGGTTATTTTGCTGTTGGGGGTTTATGGGCTGGCACAGCGTTGCTGAGCCAGTGGTTCTGCACAGAAGCTCTCATCTCCATCCCTGGATCGTGTGTGTGTATCCAGCATGAGCTGTGCTCCCGTGGGCTCGTTCCCCATCCTCTTGGAGTAGCCAAATCTTGTAAGGAGGTGTGTACCCTGTGAATGTGTTACAACTCAATTTAATACGTGACTAAACCAGCCATGCAATATTGCAATTAAAGTATAATTCCAGAGGTGTGAACAATGCTGGCTCTTCGCTGGAATGAGTCAGGGGAGCGGAGGAGGAAGCGAGCAGCAGTGTTTTATTAATTGACTCCAGCGGATTTATTTGTCCTCAGTGAATAGAGCCGGGCTGAGCTGTCGGAATTGTTCCTGCTCTGCTCGCACCGCGCTCTCCATGCCTGGCTCCTGGCAAGCTGATCCTGGGGACTGAGAATTACTGGGATGGAGACAGTTCCTGGCTGAGTGACCAGTTAAATGGATATAATGAGTGAGCAGGAGCGAGCTGGGGGCTCCTGGTGCTGTTGGAAATGGGCCCTTGTGCCTGACAGTTCTGCTGCTGCTTTTCCCTGGGTCCTGTCCTGCCTGGGAGCAAATGCCACGGGAAGGTGGCACCGGATGGCCCCTGGCACCGTGCTCAGCCCAGGGACCGACTGGTGCATCCAAATGCAAGTGCTTCCAGGATTACAAAAACGCCAGGGAAGGAGAGCAGAGCGTGCCTGGAGCAGGAATCATCCCTGTGATTCCTCTGGTACCGAGTCAGAGCAGCGCTGTCCCTGGGGATGCAGGTGGGGGTAAATTAGCAGTGGGGCAAAAAGTGAGCTTCTCCTCGAGTTCCCGCTGAGTTCCCCATGTAGTGCAAGTGTGTTTTGTTCTCAGCAGCCTCTGGAAGCCCCTTGGAGCAGCTCGGGGCTGTGGCTGGCACAGGGGCTGAGCACTGGGGACGTGGCTGTCACACATGGTCTTGCTGGGCAGGGGAGAGCCCAGGTGACCTTCAGAGGTGACTGCTTCTCTTAATGGCTTGGAATCTGATTATACCATTTCACTAAGAAATGTGCTTGGCACGTTCTTCTGCATTAAATACCATTTAGGGACAGTTATCCTGAACTCTCTGCCTGCCGCTTAGGAAAAAGCCTTTGAAAATGATATTATGGATCAAAAGTGTTCTTGGGGTAATTCTGTTTCAAACAGTGGAGTTAATCCAGAACTGAATTTGGCCCTGCATTTTCAAAGGAGAAGCAGTAGCTGTATAATCTGTTTATGGTTTTAAAGTGAATGTTAATCTTGGATTTGGTAGCTTTTCCAAAAGGTCGATTTGCCGTGCTGCAGAGCATTTTAGCCCCCTGCTCTGACACTCTCTGAGCCGACTCCATGTTTTATTTTAAAGAGTGATTTTACCGTGTTTATAAATACATGTCAAACCTGGAAACGTTAAATCTGGGCAGCCCTTGGCAGTGGAAGTAATGCCATTTTTCTTGCCTTGCATTTTGCCGCTACAGCTCGTGGCGCGGCACATCCAGGCTCCGGCGTGCCGGGCCCGCTGCAGCGATGGCTCAGTCCCACGAGGATGCAGTGGGACGGGTGGAACGGAACCAAATGTCCCCTGCTGAGAGAGGGGAGCCTCTGGGTGCTGTCCCCTGGGTGACTCTGTGCCGTGTCCCCTCCGCAGGTGGGAGGATGCAGCCGTGCGCCGGGGGCTGACGCGCGGAGCCGCCGGCCGCGGGGAGCGGGACCCCCGCCGCCCACCCATGGTCCCGGCTGGCAGCCGGGGCAGCCCCCCGTGAGGAGGGGCACGGGCACAGCCGGGACCGCGGGCACCGAGCCCCCACAGCCGCCCCGCCATGACGAGCCTGTTCCGCCGGAGCAGCAGCAACGGCGGCTCCCGCGGCGGCTCCTCCGCCCAGGAGCTCAACAACAGCCGCCCCGCCAGGCAGGTGCGGCGCCTGGAGTTCAACCAGGCCATGGAGGACTTCAAAACCATGTTCCCCAACATGGACTACGACATCATCGAGTGCGTCTTGAGAGCCAACAACGGCGCCGTGGACGCCACCATCGACCAGCTGCTGCAGATGAACCTGGACGGCAGCGGCTGTGACGACAGCTCGGACTCGGAGGACAGCATCCCCCCCGAGGTAACTGCGTGGGGCTCCCCTCTCTGGGCTCTGCCTTCCGCAGCTGGGCACATCAGTCTCATCCTGCCTGGGCACGGTGCTGCTCAACTGCTGCAGGCAGGCAGAGGTTTGAGTGCCCAGATCAGCTGGGCTCCTGCACCAAAGGTTGTCTTGGGCAGTGCTTCAGGCTCGAGCCAAGTGCTCTCCCCTCTCTCCCTCACCCCAAAACCCAACAGAGACTCTTCTGCTGCTCTCAGACTCCTTGGGGCTGTGTGCACCAAGGATAGGCTCAGCCACCCTCTTCCCTTTAAATCAGTACCTCCAAACTCCACCAAAACCCCCCTGGGTGCAGGAGGCCCAGTGCCAGCAGGTTGCCCCATCCTCTGCAGCAGCATTCAGCCTGTGCCCTCCCTGTTTTGCTGCTGCACGTGGGGCTGTGGCCCGCTGGGGAGCATTTCCCTGTCCTGCCCTCACCCCATCCTCTCACCCTGCAGATCTTGGAGCGGACCCTGGAGCCGGACAGCTCGGACGAGGAGCCCCCTCCTGTGTACTCCCCTCCTGCCTACGAGAGCCAGGCCTTGGGCAGCCGCTACGCTGTGCCAGGCCCTGCTGTGCCAGGCCCTGCTGTGCCAGGCCCTGTGCCACGCTGCCACGGCAGGTGTTGGTGGGTTTCTCCTCACCAGAGGTGCTGCTGTGTTGCCCTGCAGGACGGACGTGCCCGGCCCTGGCAGCTCGGTGCACTACAGGAACTGGAACCCACCACTGCTGGGAAACCTCCCCGAGGACTTCCTGCGCATCCTGCCCCAGCAGACAGCTGGCACACAGGTGAGCTTGGCCACCCCTTCCAGCCTGCTCTGACTGGATGGACACCATCCCAGACCTCAGCCACCCTGAGCTTGCAGCATCAGCACATCTGGGCACCAGGTGTGGACTAACCCCAAAGTTTTGGAGCGTGTCCTGTTCAAGAGACTGAAGTGGGCAAGGGGTGAAAGAGCTCTCAGCAAAGCTTAGATATTTTTCCTGCATTAGCCCAGTGATTAGTGCCAGAAATGCCACTTGCCATAAGCATCTAATATTTTCAATTATTTGAGAATCTTGCCTGCTGCCCTGGTGAGGAGCAGCAGGACCAGTAGTGCTCCTAAGGAGAGCAGCACTGCCAGGGCACTTGAGGGCTGCTGCAGTGAAATTTGGGTGGGAAACAGTGCAAGCCAGAGGATTTGCCCCTGGGAAATCAGATTCCACATGTGCTCCATGGTTGTTTTAAGCTACAAGGTTTGGGTGCCAGCAGCAGGGCAGGCAATGAGCAGCATCCCATGGGGAACAACATGGGATGCCCAATACATGCTGGGCATCCTGCTCAGCTCCAGGCACAATTTGGGGCATCCCTCAGCCCTTTGGTAATACAGGAACCCCTAAATGGATCCAGCACCCTCCTGGCATGGAGAGGGCTGGGGGGACTGCAGGCACCCTGCTCCTCATTCTCGTTTCGTCTCCAAAGGCAGCCTGCCACGTTTTCATGAATGATTGCCCTGCAAGTTGAGCTTCACGGGCTCTATTACCTTTCTGGGAATAGGAGCGTGCCAATTCATTTGGGCTCAGGGGGAGGAGAGGAGCAGCTGCCCTTTTCTTTCCCCAGTAATTGTGTGCTTTTGCTTTTTATGGCTCTCAGGGAGCAGCTACAAATCAGATAAATATTGTAGGCAGGGATGAGGCTGTGCCGCAGCGTGTGGCTGTGCTGCTCCCCAGGTGTGAGGCGTTTGTCAGCAGGACACTGCAGACTCTGCTCTTTGGAGATGGGAGATAAAGCAGCAATGCTGCTGAGACCCTTCTCCTACCTCCACACCTCTTATACCTCTGCTATGGCACAACCCCATGGCTTAAAGTTAAAAATCCCTGCCAGCCTGTGCTCTGCTAAAGGACCTCCAAAATGTTCCCACGTGGGATGTCTGTCCCCTCTGCCCTGTCCCGCTTCCCAGGGGGCAGAGGCAGTGATGCCCTGTCCCCCTTTGTCCCTTTTACCCTGGGCTGTGGGGCAGAGGAGGGAGGGACCCCTCTGGGAGCAGAGTCGGTGCCCATCGGGGCTGGGGGAGCTGCGGTGTTACAGAGGGGCAAAAAATCCCGAGGTGCTGCTGCAGGGACCCCTGAGAGCACCACCCAAGGTGTGCCACGTTTGCCTCCCCAGGGCTCCCCCGGCTGCCGGCAGCCCGTGCCACGGGGGCTGGTGCCACGGGGCCAGGGCTCCCTGGAGCAGGAGCGGCGATGGAAGCAGTACCTGGAGGACGAGCGGATCGCGCTCTTCCTGCAGAACGAAGAGTTCATGAAGGAGCTCCAGAGGAACCGGGATTTCCTTCTCGCTCTGGAGAGAGGTGAAAGGGCCTTCAGAAACTTCTGCTTTTTTGGATGTGTGCCCTGCTGTGACTCTGGCTGCTGGCAGCAGTGCCCTGCCTGTGGGATCAGGGCTTGTGCCAGAGCAGAGCCAGTGCAAGACGTGGCCAGGCTGGGGGCTGGGGGTCTGAGCTGCCCGCACTGGTGGGCTGCTCCCTGGGCTCCTGCTCTCCTCCCTGTGCCCATCCCTCTGCAGCATCTCTGCAGAGCCCAGCAGAATCCATAGCAAGGAGCTCTGGCAATGGCCTCTGAGCCCTCCCCAGCCCTGTCAGTGGTGCTCTGCAGGGTCCTGGCAGCGCCGTCACTGCAGGTGGCAGGGAAACCAGGGGTGTGCTCGTCGTGTGCTTGTGGTGGGTGGGCAGTTCCTCTGCTGCTGCGGGCTCCCACCACAGTGCTTGTGGTCTCTGTGCAGAAGCAAAGCCCCAGCTCCCTCCCTTGCCAGCAGCCTGTCCCTCAGCAGCCGCGGGGCTGTGAGGGGAGAGGGCAGCAGAGCCATGTGCTCTGCCTCGAGGGTCTGATCGAGCGGGCGCTGCGCTTTTTGTGTTTCAGATCGATTGAAATATGAGTCAAAAAAATCCAAGTCGACTGGTGTTGCTGTCAGCAACGACTTTGGTTTCTCCTCCATATTATCAGGTAACTTCCAAGACACCCGTGAGCATTGTCTCTCCACAGCAGGATCCCCCAGAGCCCCTGCATTCCCATCCCTCTGCCCAGCTGCATCCAGAGTGGCTGTGGAGGGAGGAAATGGCTGATCCCTCCCTGCTGCCCTCCCAGCACGGGAGAGGAGCTGGTGGGTCTTGGGGGTGGGTGCTCCTGCCCTCCCCATGTGGAGGTGCTCCTGCATCCTGCCTCCATCCATCCTGCCCTCCCTGCCTGGGCTGGAGCAGAGGATTGTGCCTGCAGGCATAATGACTGTTCCTGGGTAATCCTGATTAACCTCGGAGCAGAGCAGCTGCCCAGAGTCAGAATTAGAGCTGGTGTCTGTCGATGGCATGGGGTTGGGTGAGCCTGGGCAGCCTGGCAGGGCTCCAGCTGGGCTCACAGACCTGGGGAACAGGGACATGGCTCTGGGGTCTCTGGCTCCCTGACCCAGCTGGGCTTGCTCCTGATCCACTGGGTAGCATCATCCAATACCCAGAGCACAGTCAGAGCCCGGAGGAGTTTGGAGCTGCTGACCCTGGAGGGAGGTGCTGGTGCTGGGACTGAGCACCTGTAATGTGTGCTGCCAGCCCATGGCTCTGCACTCCCCGTCCCAGGGGTTGTGTCCCCAGAGGGTCCCCATCCAGAGCCAGCCCCACGTGCCAGCACCCTCATCCCCCCTGCTCTCGCCAGCGCTGCCCTTTGCTGCTGCTGGAGTTGGAAGGGATTGGTGCCAGCCCCCTCAGGCCCTCCTGATGAGCAGTGTTTGCCTTGCAGGTGAGGGAGCTCCCTCTGGACCCAGCGAGGCCGGCGGGGCCGTGTCCGACGATGCCTTATTCCGAGACAAGCTCAAACACATGGGGAAATGTGAGTGGTGGGCAGGGCCCGTGCTGGCAGCCTGGCAGGGCTGGAGGTGGGCAGCGGGAGATGGCAGCAGTACCTGGCACTCTCCCAAACTCATCCTTTCTCTGAGAAGTCACAGCCTGCTTTTCTCACCACAAACTAAACCGAGGTCCTTGGGTGGCCCCAGCTGGGCTGCAGCCACTGGGGACACTGGGAGGGGTGGGTAAGGAAGGTCATGAAAATCCCAGAAGAAGGGGAAAACATGAGCACCTCCCAGCAGGGACCAAGGGACCCTGTCTCCCTCTTCAAGTCTGGGCATCACCACAGGGTGTTGGGTGTGGGTGGCTCTCACACCCCTGGCCCTGCCCTTCTCCTTTCCCCTGCCTGTGGCAGCTTTGGGAAGGGTTTTTGGGTGAGACCCTCACCCAGCTGCTTCCTTCCAGCCACGCGCAAGAAGCTGTTCGAACTCGCCAGAGCCTTCTCCGAGAAGACGAAGATGAGGAAATCAAAAAGAAAACACTTGTTGAAGCACCAGGTGTATCCTGAAAGGGGCTGTGGGGCAGGGGGGGCTCCCCAAGGGCTCCTCTGTGGCTGGAGCGTGGGCTGGGAAGGGTGGCTGTGGTCCGTGGCCACATCCTGGCCCCACACGTGGTTTTCCTTAGCGGAGGGTGCAGGATGGGGACAGCAGCTTCCACGGCAAATCTTCTCGATGACGTGGAGGGACACGCATATGGTAAGGAGTGCTGTGCTGGGTGTGCTGGGTGTGCTGGCCTTGGCACGGCTGGGTCCGTGGTGCCTGGCCCCACGTCACCCCAGGGCTGGCTCAGGTGTGAACGCCTGCCAGAAATACCCCTGTGGACCAAAATCCTCCATCCAGCGTTCTCAGATGTGTTCTGGGAGAAACCCCCCAAGTCTCCCTGGGGATTCTCTCTCTGAGCAAGGAAACCCTGCCCTGGGGAAAGCTGGGCTGCCTCCCCCCGGGCTCCTCCCCGAGCTGGGGCCGAGGTGCAGCGGTGCCCTGGTGTGGAGGTGGCTGCAGCCCCCCTGCCTCTGCCTTTCAGATGAAGATTTCCAAGCACGGCGGCAGCAGCTCCGGGAGGAGGAGGAGACGCCGAAGGAAGGGCAGTAACCGGTGAGAGGCACCTGGGGATGGGTGATCACTTGGGTGTGAGTGGCCTAGCCTGGCTGGAGGAGGGAGCACGTGCTTTAGGCTGGGTCCAGAGTGTGTCCGGGTGGGGACAAACCCCACCAGTGGCCATGGGTGGCACGGCTGGGACAGCCCCGGGTGCTGTCACTGTGTGGCTGAGGCTGAGCACGTGCTGTTCTCTTTCCCCCCTTCCCCTCCTGCAGGTCCCAGCTCTGGGGTATTTTTGCTGGCACAGGACGTGCACGAGGCTTCATCAGGAGATGGCTGAAAAAGGAAAAACCCACCCAACAAATCACACAGATTTTGGCTGTTCCCCCTCTGCTGCTGTACTCCTCTGAAGTACAAGTATCGAAGTGAGGCACAACGTTTTCTTACCAGTGGTTTGAAAACAACTTTTCCTATGGAGAAAATCAGCCAAAAAGGAAAAAAACAAAAAAGGCAAAAAAAAGGGGGCAGCTGCTGCGAGCGGCTGCGGAGGAGCCAGCGAGCTCAGGCTGGGGAGGGGCAGCCCCGCCTGCTCCCTCGGCCGGCGGCACAGGAGGAATGAAATCAGTCGTACTAACGAGGATCCAATCCCACGTGGGGTCTGCTTGGCCGGAGCACTCCTGAACATATCTGTAGTGGTCTGATGTAACTTCACTCTGCGCACACCGGGACAAAAACCACGTGAGAAAGGGAAGCTAACAGCCGTTGTCTATTATTGCTAGGAGTAATGAGCAGAGATTCAGATCAGGTAATAGTCAAATAATATAAATTGTTTATAAAAGGAAAGGCCTTCTTTTCCTAGGCGTTTCACTTTGAATTAAACCTTTGCCTTCGGCATTGCTACAACTGCCTTGAAGTTGGGAAGCTTTGTGCCACGGGGCAGCACCAAGGGCTGGATTTCACACCGGTTTCACCCTCACTGATGGAGCAGGACACATCCCGCCGGGTGTGGGGTGCTGGGGGTGCTCCCGGAGTCTGGGAGATCCAGGGATGCCCCCGCTGTCGGTGAGAGGCAAAGCCCAAGCCAGGGGCTGGCAGGGCTGCTGGAGGTGTTTTCAGCACGGAGTTTGCACCAGGGTTGGGGGCACTGCTGGGTTTGGTGCGGGGCAGGAGCAGAGCCCCTTCCTCGTGCCCGCAGCGCCGGAATCCTGCAGCTCTCGGAGATGCTGTCAGGCTAAAAATAATTACATAAACAAATTCTTTCGCTGTGTAAGTAATGAGTGACGAGCGTAAAGTCAGAATTCGCTCCCGCCAGCACATTTTCTTCTCCTTTATCGGCACAGCGTTCCCTGCCAAATGCAGGAGGTGGCTCTAGACGTGCCTGTTTCACTCTCTGGCTCCTGCCAACCAGCACAAATGTTGCAGGATTGGAGCTGTGAAGGCGGCAGACGCAGAAGCCCCAGCCATCAAACACTCACGCAACTGTTTTCCCTGCCTCTCCGCAGGGTTTGGTAACAAAAGTCCCCCTTGCAGGCGCTGGCTCCCGGCAGGCTCCTCTTCAAAATCCCAACGGAGCCCGCGTGCCTTTGAAGTGGACGCCAAGATTTCCAGATTTCCTCCCCCGGCGGCGCTGCAGCTGCTGCACCTGTTGAGCGCTGCTGTGGTCCCCTCCAGCCCTGCTGGGGATGGGGGCATCCCGTCAGCTTCACTTTCTCCTGCTTCCTGGCCAGGGGCAGGGCTGCTTCCAGGTGTCTGGGGCTGTTTCCAGGTGGTCTGTGTGGTGTCTCTGTAGCACAAAAGTCCTGCAGCACCAGTGCTCAGACAAGTTCTGGGGTGCCGAGGGTCAGGGCAGGTGCCGTGGGCTGGGAGCACCCTGGGATGCCAGCAAGCTTTGGGCTCCTAAAATAAATCAAAGCAGCACAATTCCCAGCCCAGCCAGCCCATACCAGTTTTGGTGTCCTCTCCTTTGCTTTTGAAGGATTGAAGAGCAATCCTGAGTCGTGGCAGCACGGTGACAGGTGAAAGCCACCCCAGGACACGCTGGCTGTCCCACACCGTGGGCAGCACCCCTGCTCCTGTGGTGTGCACGGCTGTCAGGGGTGCTGCGAGGGCACAGGATGCCCCAGGCTGCCCTGCCCAGGGCAGGATGTGGCTCTGGAGGAGCACCTGGCTCAGGGTGCAAGGGGGAATCGGGCAACGGAAAATCCTTCAGTCCTTGGGTGGGATTTCCATTCTGAGAGAGCTGAGGAGAAGGAGGGGCTCCTTCCCTGCCCTCGCTGGCCCTGGGGGCCCTGGGAGGCTGCCGTTACTGCTTCCCAGTCCAAAGCAGCTCTGCATATTTGGAAGAAAATCAAACTTGGAAGCGGATCAGCCTGTCACCATTCCAGCGCCTCTCCGCCACGGCGGGCTGCGGTGCCAGCGAAGTTTCCATGGGCGCAGGAAGCACCGGCGGCCGGCAGGGAATTCTGCTCTCCCGGACCGGGAGGTGCCGGCCCCGGGGCTGGGCTGGGCTGGCCGTGCAGGGCTGGCTCCTGCCGTGGCTGCGGGGATGGCTTGAGCTTCCCTGGGGAGGCTGGCACAGGGCCACAGGGCAAAGAGGGGGACACTGTCCCTGCTCCCAGGCTGCTCCTTAAGGGACACCTGGGTCACCTCCGTAAGCCAGCCGAGGTGTGCTGGCTCTGCTTTCTGCCTGAGCTCGTCCCCTCTGCTCCCACGGAGAGAGGGACAGCAAGGAAGGGCAGCCGGGGCTGGCAGCTGGGGAGGGGACAGGACAGGTGGGTGGCAGTGCCCAGCCCTGCTGGCTCTGACCCCGCTGGGGTCCTGCACCAAAAGCTCCATGGTCATCACAGGGCACAGCTTGGCCACCACCACCCCCCAACAAGTTGCCCTTAAACATCCCAGGCCAGGCACAGCCTCTGGGTGATGTCACTCTGTGTCAAAATATCCTGGAGGCACAAAGCATCGTTTTAATGGAGATGGAGAGGGGGTTTTGTGTCCTGTAAAAAAATAAAAATCAGGTCTATGGAGTGGAAAGGCCACAAACCTGGCTTGGGAGCCAAAATGCATTTCTTACATAAAAATGTACAATTCTCAGTGATGTTTCTCTACAGAAAGATTTCGAAAGAACAAAACAAACTGATCTGTGATGTTTGTGAGTGTGGCTATTTTAGAATTTATTTCCATAAGTGATTTTTTTCTTAAAGATGTTTAATAGTAATTCCTATAATAAAGTCCTGTTGTACTCTTCACGCTGTATATATTTTTTTAACACTGTGTTTACAGCGGAAGGAAGAAAGAAAGGGGGCTGGGGAGGGAAGGGGCAGCTCCAGCCCAGCTCCAGCTGTGCCCCTCAGATGCAAATACCCCAAATCTGCCCTGGTTTGCTGCTCCTGATGGGGCTGAGTTTGTGTCTGGTGGTTTCCTCAATAACCCATGAGCCATCCCTGGGGAAGCAGTGGCAGTGCTGGGGGACACACGGGGCATCCCCCTGACTTTCAGGGACAGCACAGAACCCCCCGTCCTGTGCCAGCTTTCATTTCCCAGCAGGATCGGAGCTTTCCAGCCTCGGGAACCTTCCCTGTGAAAGAAAAGCCTGGAAAAAATCAGGGTATTCTTGCCTTAAATGTCAAAAGCAGCGAAAGGCTGGAGGCAGGCTGGCCGAGCCCAGGGCCTGCCCCAGCAGCTCCCTCTGGAATTGCTCTCCTCGCAGGGACAGGGCTCTGCTTCCCGGCTGGGGCTGCCTGGGGATGGGGCTGGACACGTCCGAGCCCGGCCATCCCTGCCGGCCCTCGGTCTGCCGTGGGAGTGTACTGCCCCCTTGCTCCGCCGGGCTGCAGCTGGGAGCGGGGATGCCCTTCCCTTCCCTTCCCTTTCCCTTCCCTTTCCCTTCCCTTCCCTTCCCTTCCCTTCCCTTCCCTTCCCTTCCCTCGTCTCCTTCCCGAGCGCAGGGCCGCACCCAGCGCCGGGCAGGGCTGCGGGCCGGCTGCGGCTGCTGCAGGTTGGACACGGAGCTGGGACACTCTGGGATCCATGGGATCACACTGTGTGTGTGCTGGGGCTGCTGCAGGTGGGACACTGGGCTGGGAACACACTCTGGGATCCATGGGGCCGCTCTGTCTGTGGGGCTGCTGCAGGTTGGACACCGGGCTGGGACACTCTGGGATCCATGGGGTCACACTGTGTGCTGGGGCTGCTGCAGGTTGGACACCGCGCTGGGAACACACTCTGGGACCCTCTGGGGCCGCTCTGTCTGTGGGGCTGCCCAGGGCGGCTCCGGCCGTGGGGCAGCCCCCGGACAGGGCTGGTGCTCACCCCGCTGTCCCTTGATGTGGATCCCGCTGTCCCCTGTGCTGACCCTATGTCCCCTGGTGCTGATCCCACTGTCACTGGTGCTGACCCCGCTGTCCCCTCTCCGTCCGGGCGAAGCTGCAGGACGCGCTGAACCGGGAGGTCTTTCCCGGCCTCAGCGGTTCTGTGACACGGACCAGCGGGGCTGCCCCGGCCCGGGGAGGGCACTGAGGGGTGGCACTGAGGGGTAACACTGAGGGGGGGTGTGTGAGGGATGTGTGTGAGGGTGGCACTGAGAGGGTGGCACTGTGGGGGTGACACTGAGGGTGTGTGTGTGAGGGGTGACACTGAGGGTGTGTCTGTGAGGGGTAGCACTGTGGGGGTGGCACTGAGAGGTGGCACTGAGGGGTGACACTGAGGGGTGGCACTGAGGGGTGGCACTGTGGGGGTGTCTGTGAGGGGTGGCACTGAGGGGTGACACTGAGGGGTGACACTGAGGGGTGGCACTGTGGGGGTGACACTGAGGAGTGACACTGAGGGGTGGCACTGTGGGGTGGCACTGTGGGGTGACACTGTGGCGGTGTCTGTGAGGGGTGGCACTGTGGGGGTGTCCGTGAGGGACAGCGGCGGGACACGGCTGTGCGCCCAGCCATTCTGTGACACCGCACCAGCAAACACCACGAGATGAGGCTGCCGCGGGACAGCTGGCGCTGCCCGGGCTGGGGCCGAGGCTGTCGGGGCACACCGGGGCCGCTCCCGTCTGTCGCGACAGCGCCAAACGCATGGCGGCGACCCGGCTCGGCCATCGGCTGGCGCTGCCTGCACACCTTCTCCCGCCGCCGCTCGGCACTCGGCCGCGTGCCCTGGCGGCCGCTCCGGTTCCGGTTCCGTTCCGGTTCCGCTTCCGCTTCCGGGTGCACGGCAGCACCGGGCCGGGCTCCGGGGCCCGTCCGGCGGGGCTGCCATGGCCGCCACGGCCGGGAGCCGCACGCAGAAGATCGGGAGCGTGTTCAGCCGGTGCGGAGGGGGGGTTCAGCCGGGGCGGCGCCGGTTCCCCGCGAGCGCGGCCCGCTGAGCCCCCCCCTGAGCCGCCTGTCGCCCGCAGGGCGCGGAACCTGGTGCGCACCGGGCTGCTGCGGAAGCCGCTGTGGCTGGACGTGTACGCCGCGTTCCCGCCGCTGCGCGAGCCCGTGTACCGCGTGCCGCGGCCGCGCTACCGGAGCCGGGACCGCATCGGCGCCGTGTTCTACCGGGAGGACACCGTGCGAGCGTGCGTGGGGTGAACGGGGGCTGCGGGACACCGGGGGCTCGGGGTGAACCGCGGGGGGCTGGGGGCTTGGGGTATTTTTTTTTTTATTTTTTTTAAAAAAACGGGTTTTTTTTTTTTTTTTTTAATAAATCAGGGTGATTTTTTTTGGTATTTTTTAAAATAAATTGGGGATTTTTTAATAAATTGGGGTGGGGTTTTTTAAGTAAATTGAGCTGGGCTGTTTAATAAATTGGGGTGGGGTTTTTATGAATAAATCTGAGTGGTTTTTTAATACATTGGGGTGGTTTGGGGATAAATCGGGGTTGTTTTTTGGAATAAATCAGGGTGGTTTTTTAACAAATTGGGGTGGTTTTTTGAATAAATCAGGGTGGATTTTTTTTTTCATTAATCAGGGTGGTTTTTTAAATAAATTTGGATTTTTAAAAAATAAATCAGGGTGGGTTTTTTTTTTTAACAAATTGGGGTGGTTTTTTAATAAATCAGGGTGTTTTTTTTATTAAGTCGGGGTGGGTTTTGGAATAAATTGGGGTGGTTTTTTAATAAATCTGGATTTTTTAAATAAATCAGGGTGTTTTTTTTAAATAAATTGGGATTTTTAAAAAATAAATCAGGGTGGATTTTTTAATAAATCAGGGTGGTTTTTTTTATTAAATTGGGGTGGGTTTTTGGAATAAATGGGGGTGAATTTTTCCATAAGTCAGGGTGTTTTTTTCCATAAATCAGGGTGTTTTTTTGATTAAATTGGGGTGGTTTTTTGGAATAAATGGGGGTGAATTTTTCCATAAGTCAGGGTGTTTTTTTCCATAAATCAGGGTGGATTTTCTGCCCTGCCCCTGTTCCCAGCAGAGCTGGAGGCTCCTCTGGGCCCTGCTCCTGCTGCACCCTCAGCGTTCTCACTCTGCTGCTGTTCACTCTTGATTTAGCTGCAAAATCCAAGCAGTTTCCTTTTCTGAGCAGGAGGTTTTACAAAGTTTATGGCAATGGCCCCAAACCTTTCGACCTGACGCAGTTAAACTTCAAATCCACCTGCCAGAGGTAAGATGATGAAACCAAAAACGTTCCTGAGGCTGCTCCTTCTCCCCTTGAGTCAGGGAGCCAGAGCATCACTCTGAGTGTGAAAAAACAACTTTGCAATGCAGGTTTGTTGAGAAATACAACGAGCTGAAGGAAGAAGGGAAAATCCAAGAGGAGAAATTGTTTGAAGAGACAGGAAAAGCCCTTTTAGCCAGTGGGATCCTTTTACAGAGGAGAGGAGTAGATAAAGTGAGTATTGAAAAAATGAATATTGAGAAAACTCCTCAGTGCTGAGCTGCTCTGGGTGAAACCCTCAGCACAGCAGGCACACACCTGAAGGTCTCAAAATGTCTTTGCTGTGCAGAGAAAACTTTCCTCTGGGCCTTGAGCAGGTCTGGCCAAGGCTGAGGGACTTGGGGGTGAGCAAGGATGTTTTTCTGGAGATGAAATTGAATAACCATTCAAATAATCCGTGGTGCATCTGTATGCAGCATCTGGAACTTTGTACATCTGCTGTTGTATCTTGAATTTTCCCGTGTTTTAGCTGGAGGTCAGCAGCCTCTCTGGGAACGTGGTGGCACTGTGCTGTGCCTCCACGGTGTGAATGAAACTCCTCCTGCATGGGGCTGCTGCTCTGCTCAGTCACCCTTCAGGAGCTCTTCCCAGCCTGTTCCATGTGACCTTTGCTGTCCTTCCCTGCAGGCTGCTGCGTCCAGGGATCCTGCCCTGCAGCCCCAGCTGCAGGCTGTGCTGGAGGAGCTGCAGGAGAAGAGGAAGGACGGGCAGGAGCCGCCACCAGAGCTGGCAGGGACACAGAAGGAGAGTCCCTGTCCCTCCTGACAGCCCTGCTGGCCCTGTCACCTGCAGAGCCACCTCCAGCCCTCTCTGGGGACATTTCCCCCTGCTGCCCTCCAGGCTTGTCCATGGCACACATGCTGTCCTCTGTCCAGCTCCACACTGATAAAGTCACAGAAAATCTCATTTTTTTTAGTGTTCACAACTGTTTTCTGAAATGGAGTTGGAAAATAACCGAGTGTAAAAGTGGAAAATTAAAACGTTTTCTTTAAAAACTGGGAGTTCTGCCTGTTCAGGTGTCTGGTGTGCAGCAGTGGAGATGTTTCCTGCTGGGGGAATGCAGATCCTGTTTGATGTATTCCAGCAGCTGTCTGAAGTGTCATCCTTTTATAGCTGATGGAGAAAGGTGCTATTTATAGACAGACTGCTGTAATGTGCTCTTCCCATCCCTTCATTTGCTTAAATTCACAGCGGGATGAGGTGTGGCAGGACCAGAAAACTGGGAGCTTTGCAGATTTTAGTGGCTCCTGATGAAACTGGCACCTTGGAAGTGTGAAAATGGGATGTCCCAGCTGTTTGCTGGGAGAAAGGTGATGCTGCTCAGGAGCAGTCACTGGAAATCTGGCAGGGACAAAAATAACAACCAGCCTTCCTGGGATCAGGAGGGAGCTCTTCCCCTGCCTGCACATCCCGTGGCTGGCTGATCTTTCATTAAACATTTTGGTTGGGCTCTGTGAAGAACAAACCGTTTGTTTTGTGTCTTTTTCTTTGTGTTTTTTTGCTGTTTTTCTTTCGTTTGTGGTTTTTAACATCCCGGACTGGCACCACGCCCAGTCAGAGGTGTGGACGGTGTCCAGCCCCTCCCTCCGTGCCCGGTTTGGTGCTGCTGCTGTGGCTGAGGCGCAGGAGAGCTGGGTGGCAGTGAAAAGCAGGGGTGTGAAAAGCCCCTGCTCTGGTTTCTGTGCCTTGTTTTGCTCCTGGGTGATGTGATTGCAGCAGAATTGCTCAGTTACCCGCGGAAGGTCAAACTTTACTCCCAGTTCTGCTCTTGCAGAAGAGCTAAACCCTCTCAGGGTTTTGTTACAAAGAACAGAAATCCCTGTGTTTTAGCGCTGCTCCGTTTCCAGATCTAGCAGTAACATGGAGTTCAGAGCCCTGAGGTGTGCCCTGAACGAGCTGCTGCGCAGAGCAGGTGAGGAGAGCGTTGGAATTGGTTTTATTTTGCGTTGAAAAAAAGTCAATCCCCTTGGGTTTGCCCTCGGGGGCAGCTGTGCCCTGCGGGGGTGAACTGAAACCCCTCAGGGGCTTTTCCTCCCCCTGAACACCTGGGACGGTGATGGGGACCAGCTGCAGCTCGTTAATGACCATGGCCACAGGTGAGGGGGTTTTGGGGTGATTGCCTCGAGCCCGGGGAGCCAAAGCCCGGCAGGGGAAGGGCAGGGAGCCGTGCCTGTGAGGAGCCGGGGGTGCGGGTGCCCTCTGTGCCCTCCGTGCCCTCCGTGCCCTGCCCCAGCAGTTCCTGCGGCGCTGCCGAGCTCACCCCGGCCTTCCGAGCCAGGTACGTGCGGGAGAAGCTGGGAATCTGTGCGGGACCCCGTGTTTGAGAGGCAGGGAGAGCAGGCGTCGTGCCCAGGTGTGGTTTGGGAATGCTCGGCTGGAAGCTGCCAGGGCCTGGGCTGGGGCAGGCTGTGGCTGATGGAGAAGCGCTTGGAACGTTCAGCGCCGTGGATTTGTTGTGCCTGGTGGGTGGCGGGGATCTCACGGGGTCAGGGATGCGAGCCGGAGCATTTGGTGCGGTTCGGGTAAAAAAGTGAAACCAGCGACTCTGAGCAGCGTTTGGTGGGCGCGTGTGCCGGGCTGGAGCGCGATGCTGATGGTGGGCACCTGCTGGAACTGCGGGAAATTAATTAACAAGTTGCGGGCAGCAGCCGGGGGGGGCGATTTGTCGCTGTCGGGGCGTTTTCCCGGCAGCAGGAGGGCTCCGAGGGTCCCCGCAGCCCCCGGTGCCCCGGCGCTCCCCGCTAGGTGGGAGCCGCGCTCCGCGCTCCCGGCACCGAGCGGCGGCCGCGGCCCCTCCCGAGCCCTGCCGGGCTCCCGCAGGCTGCGAGCCTCGGCTTCCACCGGGAAACATCTGAAAAGGCACCGCGGCTTCCCCGGGGTGGCACCGGCCCATGCACCGGGCGATGCACAGGGGGATGCACCGGGGGGGATCGCGGTGATGGAGAGCGCCGGGCTGCGGGGATTGCTGCCCTGGGCAGGGCAAAGGCTGCTCCGGCGCTTCCAGGGCTGTGTCCCCGTGCCCAGGACAGCCCTGCGGTCCGGTGATGTCCCCCAGGAACGCTGGCTCCTGCCCGGGGAGCGGCGGCCGCTGCCGCGCCATCCGCAGCCCGGTGTCCTTCCCTGCGCCGGTCCCTGACCTCCCTGCCGCGGGGACAACTCCTGTCGCCGGCTGCCAGGCTATTTTCAGGGACGGGAAATGCCGAAGTATCGGTTACACGGAGTCCTGACTGCGGAGGGAGCGGGCAGGGACGCCTTGCACAGCCAGGCTGAAGCTTCTCCGGGGCCGGCTCCCAAAAACGGGGGCTGAGTGTCTCGGGGTGCAGAGCTGCCTGCCCTGTGGCAGAATGCAGGTGTGCTGGTGCAGGGGGGACTGCAGGAACCTCCCAGGGATGCTGCAGCGCTCCTTACACCGATGTTTTCCCAAACAATGCAAAGGTGTCCTGCTGGAACAAACACCTGCAGTCCCACAGGTCAGGGCTGCAGAGCCGGGCTCTGAGCTTGGGCTCTGCTTTAACCCGCAGGCAGCTGCTCCCAGAGCCCTGCTCAGCCCCTTCACGTGTTCCTGGGCCGTGGATTATCCGCTGGTATGTGATGAGGGCAGGGGAACTAAGGATTTAATAGGATCAGGTCTAATGTCTGGAGCAGCCAAAATAATTCATCAGCTTTGCTGGAAAAACAGGTGATCTGACCTTGCCAATGCCAAGCTCCACCGAGGCAGATAATAAAGGGTTTAGTGTTTAAAGAACATGGCTCCAAATAAGATATAAAATTGTTGGCATTGCCACTCTGTGGAATCCTCTGGGATTTGCCTCTGCCCAACCCTGCTGAGCACACACATTTGGTCTTCGAACCTGCCCTGTTTTGAGCTTTGGAATATTCCAGAAATCTGCATCTGCTAGGAGAATGGCTGTGGAATCAGAGCAGGGTGCTGGCTCTGATGTGCTGTTTCCGCACTGGAGAGGGGATGGCACAGAGGTGGCTCCTGCTTTGCAAGACCTGGGAGGTGTCAGCTCTGCCTGGTTCTGGCTCTAAACTGGGGCTTTTTAATGAATTTGGTTTGGTGTTTCTTGTAGTGTTTTGCTTCTGCAGCACCAGTAACGTCCGTGGCACAGAAATTCCTGGTCTGAGAGTTCTGGGCTGTGTGAGGGGCAGGACAAAGCCCCTGGGCAGGGCAGGAGGGTCAGAGCAAACCGGTGAGAACAGCGGGCTGAGCCCAGCAGCGGCTGATGGAGCTGCTGCTGTTTCACCAGTAAATGCTGAGTCCTGGCAGGACCTGCCCCCCTTGGTCAGTTCTGACCCTGGGATGGCAGCCACGGCCCCTCTGGCCAGGTCATGGAGGGGCTGAGCCCCCGAGGGACCCCACTCTGGGGGGAGCTCACTCTGGGCACAGCAGTGCGTTTAATGAACATTTTGACAGTCATTGCAGGGGGGCCAGGCTGTGTCATGTCCCCCAGCTCAGCCTGGCTGCCAGGGGCTGCTCCGCTGGCAGAAAGAGAAATGCTGCCCCAAGAAACCCTTGTGGCCCCATCCCGACGAGCTGTGGCCTCGGTGTCTGTGCCGGTGTCACTGCCCCGGGGCCGGTGTCACTGCGGGGCCGGTGTCACTGCCCCAGCGGCTGCCCGAGCCCGGGGGTCTGCCGTCTCCCCGCAGCGATTTGGGCTGTCCCCGCTGCCGGGGGTCCCGCAGGAGCCCGGTGGCTCAGCTGCCCTTGGCTCTGTCTGTCCCTGTGCCGCTGCTGCCGCCTCTCTGCATATTGCAAGCTCATTCTGATGTGCGCTAATGCTATTATCCTCCAGAAATTGAAATCAAGTCTGAACCTATAATGTTTCACTGGGAGGGAATTGGGGTTATATATTCCTGTGTACAGCAGCATTCTATTTCAGTCATAGCATTTAATTATGATTGGTGTGTTAGTGCCCACCAGAGCATAACAAATTGTCATTATGTTATTCTGCTGAGTCTAATTTAATTGGCAAGTTGTCACAAAAGCAATTATCCATCATTTATTTTGTTGCCATAACCACATCTTGGAGAGCACCTGCTGTCTGAAGTGGAAGGGCTCTGCAGTCTCTTGGTCCTGGATTTCTTCCACTTGCCTGACACAAAGACACCATTTCCTCCTCTTATTTAAAAACGTGTTCCTCGTTTCCCAGCGTGGGCAGGGCTGGGAATGCCGGAGGGATTGCTCAGGGCAGGTAGAGCCCTGCTGGGACATCCCGGGGCTGCTGTGACCCAGGGGGACCTGGGGGCCAGCCCGGGGCAGTGTCTGGGGTGGTGCTCAGGTGTGGGAGCCTCTCCTCACTTTGCAGAGCTGGCATGGACTAAGGAGAGAAAGGAAAACTTGAAATGAGACATCCCCTGCCTGGAGTAAATACAACTCTTGGCTTCTTACAAACAATTTTGGGGGAAAACAGGGAGAGGGAAGGGAAAAAAAAAAAAAAAAAAAAGCCCCTCTGGTGCTGGTGGTTTATTTTGGTGCCTAAACACACGGGGGTGTTTGGAGGAGCAGAAGGGCTCAGCCCCGGCCCTCGGAGCCTGGATGGTTCTGGAAGGAAGGAGCAAACGCCAGCCCGGCTCCGGGGGCACCCTGGGCACCTCGGCTCCCCTGGCTGCCCTTCCCTGGCTCCCAGGGCCGCTGGAATCACCCCAGAGCCTGCCAGCCCGGCTGCTCTCAGAGCAAGTTTCAGATAAGGCATCTGGGCTCCCGGGGAGATTAGTGAGTGTTCCTTATAATCCAGCAGCAAAAGCAATCTCAGACTTCCCCAGAGCAGCCCCAAAGTGCTGATTTTCTCCTTCCTGAGATGGCACGTGGCTGTGACCTGTTCACTTTTGAGATTTTGGAGATTGCATCCCAAAATCCTGCAAGGCTAATGCGGACTCATGAACTCAAAGCCTGTGACTCACTGTGATAAATGAGTAAATAAATGAAAATCTGTTCTGATGTCTGTATTTCTGTGAGTTACTCCCCTCTCCGCCCTGTCTGTAATCTCTTCCC